GATTGTTGTTGGGGGCAATATGCTGACTCTGTAAACCACTTAGAGAGGGCTGAAAGCCCTATGAAGCGGTATATAAGTCGAACTGCTGTTGCTATTGCTATTTCTTGTCCTGCCTTCTGGTGCTTTGGATAATAGCTGGACCCCCTTCCTCCTCTCTGTGGCAGCCCCTCAAACATTTGAAGGCTGCTATCATGTCTCCCCTGGTCCTTCTCTTCACTAGACTAGCCGTGCCCAGTTCCTGCAACCGTTCTTCATGTTTTAGCCTCCAGTCCCCTCATTGTCCTGGTTGCTCTTCTCTTCCCTTTTTTTACAGAGCCTCAACATCTTTTTTTATAGTGCGGTGACTACAACTGGATGCAGGATTCTAGGTGTGGTCTTACGATCCCATGGACCACAGCACACCAAGCCCCCCTGTGCTCCAAACCCATGTTCAATATTGCATGGATGGCACTATCTATCCATTTCATCTTCTGCTGTCCCTTTCTTCTTTTGCCTTCAGTCTTTTCCCAACATCAGGGTCTTCTTCTCCAAGGAGACTTCTCTTCTCATCAGGCGGCCAAAGTATTTGCGCTTCAGCTTCAGGACTTGTCCTTCCAAAGGACGCTCAGGATTGGTTTCCTTCGGCACCGGCTGATTGGATCTCCTTGCAGTCCAAGGCGCTCTCAAGTCTTCTCCAACAAAGGCAGCACAACTAGGGTGTGCTGACCAGTGAGTTTCAATCGGAATAGAGCTGGAAGGGACCTTGGAGGTCTTCTAGTCCAACCCCCTGCTGTAGCAGGAGACCCTGTACCATTTCAGACAGCTCACAGTCCAGTCTCTTCTTGAAAACCTCCAGTGATGAAGCACCCGCAACTTCTGGTGGGAAGCCGTTAATTGTCCTCAGTGTTAGGTGGTTTATCCTGGATTCTAGGTTGCTTCTCTCCTTCATTAGTTTCCATCTTTTCTTGTCTTGTTGCCCTCAGGTGTTTTGGAAAATAAGGTGACCCTCTTCCTTTTTGAGGCAGCTTCTCAAATACTGGAATACTGCCATCACGTCTCCCCTAGTCCTTCTTTTCTCTAGAGTAGCTAAACCCTGCAAACGTTCTTCATGTTTCAACCTCCAGTCCTTTAACCATCTTTGTTGCTCTTCGCACTTTTCCCAAAGCCTCAACATCGTTTTTGTAGCCTAGTGACCAAAACTGGATGCAGAATATTCCAGGTGTGGCCTTACTAAGGCTTTATAAAACAGTACTAATACTTGACGTGATTTTGATTCTACGCCTCTGTTTACACAAGCGAAGATTGTATTAGGTTTTTCCACTGAAGCAGTTCATTAAGGTATGTCTTTTTTCAGCCAGGGGGTTGCAGGGAACGTGGATGAAGAATTCTTTCTAGAAGGGGAGGGGGGGACAAAGGCTGGCACCCCCACAATCTTTTTCTGTTCAGGTTCTCCTGCTTAAGCAGAGGAGGTGGACTAAAAGACTTCCAAGGTCCCTTACAGCTTTATTCTATTCCCCCACCCCTCAAAAAAAATTCTAAATCTTTATTAAATCACCTTGGGGTCCCTGCGTGTTTTTCCTTTAAAACATGGCCCATTCGGAACAGAACTGGCGGATTTGTTTTCGGACCCTAAAAAAGTTTGCTTCCTTTCCACACAACTCCTCCCTCTCTTCTCCCTCCCCCTCCCAACTACAAAAACCACACATTCCGCCTCACCTTCAGCAGAGGCTTGCCTTCCTTTCCTTTGTCCTCGCTGTCCAGCTTAATGTCCAGCTTCTCGATCAACTTGGCCGTTTCGTCCTTCTTGAAGTTCATGATTGCATCAAATACCTTCGAGAACAAGGGCAGAAAGGTGAAACCTGCTGCAGGGATGCCGAGCAGATAAGCTGGCAGTCCTGTTTCTCCTGACTCAAGTTCTCAACCCCACCCTCCACCGTCGATCCTTGGCCCGCTATTGGGCCGTCGCCTGTTGGGAAGCTGTTCTAACCCAGCTCCCCAAACACAACAAACCCTCTGAAGGGAACTGAAGAGATTCCTTTATTAGGCAAAAGGTCTCTCTCTCTCTCGTTGCAGGCTAACAAATCTGTCCAGCAGGGAGATAAAATAGTTGTCTGCCCCATCTATTCACCTCCGCCCCCTGCCTTTTATCCCCATAGCTAGGGTGGGGCATCGCTAGCAGCGGTGGCTCTTCCGTCCCAAGCACCAGCCCATAGGTTTCCATTGCTCTCCTCTCCTTTCTATCCAGCCACTGGACCCAGCTGTTCCTCCTCTTCCTCATCAGCCACCTCCAAAGCTGGGGGCTGTTGTTTTTATTGAAAAGTTTTAATAAATTTTACAAATATTTCCCCTTCCCTCCCCCCACCCCAGCCCTTCCCCCCTCCAACCCTCCCTCTCCCCAACTTCCCAGAGCAAAATACAGGGTATNCTGGAGGCTCAGCGGGCTGAGATGGTCAGCCAGTTCCAGGCCCTGATAACAGTCCCACTGGAACGAGGCCCTCCGGCTCTTCGCCACCAGCGGCTCTTCCCTCCAGCCTTCGCCCAAAGCCCCCCACCAGGAGGCCGAAGCAGACCCCAAGTTGGGATTTCTGCCCCCCTCCAACTCACACAAAAAGACCCCAAAGGGGGAGACTCTCTGCAGCAACACAAGCGTTCATTGCACGTATTCGTCCCAGGGGCCGTAGTTTGAGGACTCCTGATTTAGCGCAATATAAAAAATGCAAATAATTTTTCCGTGGACCACCAGTTGGTGACCTCTGGACTAGATGACCTCCAAGGTCCCTTCCAGCTCGATTCCGCTTGATTTGAAAGGATCTCAGATGAGGGTGAATATTATCTTCTTGGGAAAGGAGGTTGTGTTTCCTGATAAGATAAGAGAGGAAACACCTTGGTGCATCAGCAACATTAAAAAGAGGAGAACTGGAATTTGTATTGCTGAGCAAACAAGAGGCAAATTGCAATTAAGATTTCTTCCCCTGACTCACGGCCAGAAAATGGCATTGTAAATGGTCACAGGCTGGTTTCAAATGAATAGAAGCAGTCCTCCAGGCTTTTTAATTTCATCTTTGACAAACCCACAAGGCAAAAGGACCTGGGAAACCACTTTCCCTGGGCTGTGATAAGAGACACTTCCCTTATGGATTGCCCGCAGAGTTTTTGCACTCAATTTTCCCCCAAGAGCTAAACTCTAAATTCTAAAAAATGAATTTCCCTGCCTCAGCAGAATCAGGATTGCAGCTTTCGGCGACATCTCCAACCATGAGCCGTAGTGGCACAGTGGTTCAAGCGCAGTATTGCAGGCTACTTCTACCAGCTGCCTGCAATTTGGCAGTTTGATTCTCACTAGGCTAAGGGTTGATTCAGCCTTCTGTCTTTCCGAGGACAGTAAAATGAGGACCCAGATTGTTGGGGGTCCTCCCTCCCTCCCTCCCTCCCAGTGGTTAGAATGCAATATTGCAGGCTAACTCAGTCCACTGCCAGCAATTTGATCCTGACCAGCTGAAGATTGACTCACCCTTCCATCCTTCAGAGGACGGTAAAATGAGGACCCAAATTGTTGGAGGCAAGAGATGCTGACTCTGTAAACCGCTTAGAGAGGGCTGTAAAAGGACTTTGAAGCGGTCTATAAGTCTAAGTGCCCTTCTTTCCCTCCCTCCCTCCCTCCCTCTCTCTCAGTGGTTAGAAGGCAATATTGCAGGTTAACTCTGCCCAATGCCAACAGTTCTATCCTGACCAGCTCAAGGTTGACTCAGTCTTCCGTCCTTCCAAGGTGGGTAAAATGAAGACCCAGATTGTTGGGAGGCAATAAGAGGACTCTGTAAACCGCTTAGAGAGGGCTGGAAAGCACCGTGAAGCGGTATAGAAGTCTAAGGGCTCTTGCTGTTGCCATGTTTTCTGTGCTGAGGGACCCCTATTGGAGGTCCTGAACTGGGGAACCCCCTCAGAAGAAGAAACAGAGCAGAGCAGGTAGAGCCGATAAGACAGGTGAGCATCTTAAAGCAAAACCCTGCTTTAGACCAGCGAGGGTGGATGCAACCACCGGCTCCAAAGCAGCGCTGGGCTAAATCCTCTTTGGAGGCCACCCGCTGAATGAGTCAACAGCAGCTTGGTGTGGCTCCCTTGGGGAGTATCTGGGTGGGGCAGGGACAGCCGTCCGCAGGGATACTCCCTCACTTCTGTGAAGCAGAGAATATTCGGATCCTTCATTGTGCTACTCCCGGGCTCTCGACGGATCCAGGCGGTTACGGGAGAGTCCCATCCGCCGGCTGAAGTCATTCTGATGTTTCGTACATCCTGGCAATGCGCTGGCCCAAATGTGTTTCTTTGCAAGGCCACCGACGTCGTCCAGTGGTTCAAAAAATATTGGGAAAGAGCCTGAATGCGCCGTGAAGTATTGAAAAAAGCTGTTAAAGTTACGTTTTACCAACCAAGAAATAAAGGGGGACTAGTATAGATCTATTTCGGGGGTGTCAAACTCGATTTCATTGAGGGATGCATCAGGGTTGTGGTTTGACCTTGAGGGACTGGGGGGGGCTTGACCAGGGGGACATGGCCGGGGTGGGTGTGGCCAGCTCGGTGTCACTCATCAAGGCTCCGTTTTTGGCTGCGATAGCCTCCTGCAGCCCTCTGCCAGCAAAAATGGAGCTCAGGGAGGCCGCCCGGCTTCTGTTTTTGGCCATGACGGCCTCCTGCAGCTCTGCCAACAAAAACAGAGATCCCCGCTGGCAGAGAGCTGCAGGAGGCCATCAGCCCCAATCCAGGAACCTAGGAGGACCCCACGCACGCATCCCGAGCTCTGTTTTCAATGGCAGAGGCACCGTGGGCCGGTCCTTCGCTGCTTCCTGGGCAGCCCCGTGGGCCAGTTCTAAGCACACTGCAGCCCGGATCTGGCCCCCGGGATTTGAGTTTGACACCCCTGATTTATTTCAAGCGATTTATCTCTCTCATCAGCTAGCCATACCCTTCTGGGATTCGAATCCGGGCTGCGAATCCCAGAAGAGTATGGCTAGCTGATGAGAGATAAGTCGCTTGGAATAGATCTATACTAAGTCTCCCTTCATTTCTTGGTCGGTAAATCTAAATGCAACACAAAACACCGCGGGGGACGCGGTGACTCAGTGGCTAAGACGCTGAGCTTGTCGATCAGAAAGGTCAGCAGTTCGGCAGTTCGAATCCCCAGTGCCGCATAACAAAGTGAGCTCCCGTGACTTGTCCCAGCTTCTGCCAACCTAGCAGTTCGAAAGCATGTAAAAAATGCAAGTAGA